AAAAAAAAAAAAAAAAAAACACTAGATATCATGAATTAGGGCAAAATTTTGCAAATTTTATGAAGATCTTAGGAGGGAATTCAAAATTCAAGACTCTTTTCAACATCCTCCCGACCTCAGAAAAAAGGAAGAAAAAACCAAGCGATGGCTGAGAACATTTTAGGGAGGGTCTTGGCGTGATTAGCTACAGGGTCAAAAAAATATGATCTCTGAGAATCCGAAAATGTACAGGGGTATACCGTTTCTTTCCACTACCGGTATTTACTAAAGCTCGATTTCCACTTTTGAATCTAACCGACGAAAGCTTAAACAGGGCAGACTGACACAATACGTATGTAAGATACACGAGCGCGCGCGCCAAAGCAAAAGCTGCTGATGTTGATGTTTGACTGCATCGAGTGCAGGTGGATAGGAGGAGCTAGCCAAGAATTCGGATTAATGGTGGGGTCCGAGAGTTTTCGACCGTTAATTCGAATCAAAGCCGTGGGCTCCGAGATCCAAGCCGGATCTACCGTGATAACGCCACGCTGCCCATCCTCTCGTCTTGATACGAGTTCGTGGGAATATTTCACTCTCCGCCACTTTTCACGCGAGTGCAATCGAACAGGTTGGGGAACAACCATCCCAGTCACATGATCAATGCACTAGTCAAAATGAATCGGAAATGAGGTAACAACCGTTCCAGTCCTGCCGTGATAGCGAAGAGAGCCGTGACTCTCAAATTTTCGAAATCGAGTTTCCTTCAAAATTCGTCCAATCTCTTTTAGATGAAATCACGGAAATGGCTAAAAAAGTAAAATTCCTCCTATGTATATGAAAACGAGACATACGAGAAAACCTTAAGTGGGCAAAAAATGATAATTTTTGGAGTAGGCAGTCAAACCGTAGACATTTTGATACCGCAGACATATTTTACTGTAGACATTATTTTAATAGGCATTTTCATATAGACATTTTGACCGTAGACCAAAAAAGGTAGCCTTTTTTTTGGTAGCCCTTTTTCTTGTAGACGACCTACTGTCCGTAAACCGTTTTAAGCAAAGCAGCCATAAGGAGCATTATTCCTCCAGCAAGCTAGCGAAAACGATTTTTTCAAGTAAAATGCCGCCTATATTTCTGCCAATTTTTTATATGAAATTGTGTTTTTTTGCGTGTCAAAATGCGGCCAAGAAAGCATGCAGAGGATAGCACCTATGGCTGTCCTGCCTAACACCATATCATAGCATAAAAATAAATGGTACCATTTTTAATATAATTGAAATTAATTTGCTCAATTTTTAACCATCCGAAGGATTTCTTAGAGTCTTTCAGATAATTGGTAGGAAAGTGAAAAAGTACGGTGGCCGGAAGGTGACAATACACGGATAATTTGAACAATTTCAAAAAAAATCGCTTACTGTATGCTTTAAAATAACACAACCCTCTCGCCTAACCCGAAATTAAAACTGTAAGGCACCGCAGCGAGTCTTTCCGTCGTCACATGTGTGATAATCATCCATTTACTGTTATGACCAGACGAAGTTCAGAACACAGGTTTTTCAATCATTTTTCATTTCATGAAAGGAAAGTATCCTTCCACGGCGCCGTGATGGACGGCTGAAAGCACTACACGACCGAATCTCCAGGCCGCGAACCGCCCCGGAATACTTCGCGATTGTCGACGCGGACTACTTGAGCTAGGCGCACGAGACAGTCTTCTCAGACTGGTTGATAGGGGAATAATGCACCGGTAATCTTGTTGTGCTCGGACGGGACGGGACACTGGACTAGGATCCAGTGTTGCCAGGTGACTCAGGATAAGCCAAATTTCGACGGTGAAACTACCAAACCACGTATCTCGGTTTGCGACGTCGCAGACTTCCTGTCATACTTTATTTTTTAAATGAAAAACTACTCAACATCCAGTCTTGAAAATTTCTGTGATTTTTCCTCTTCGTGCGGAGAAAATTCCGTGAAAATTTCAAAGAATGATATTGATTTGGTCTACTTCAAAAAAATAAAATGTGAGCGTAGATTTTTAAACACCGCAAACGAGATACGTGGTTTGGTAGTTTCACCGTCGATTTGTCCTCGTGTCTTGCATAGAACAAAAACAGAAAGGAAAAACTAGAGGCCTGAATACACGCTCAAATTTCCGTCAATTTCCGATCAAAATGATGACAAAAGTGGCGGTCGATAGTCATCTGAATTGGTTTCTAAAATTAATTAAAACAGCGTGTTAATCGAAATAAGAATGAAATAAGCACGGTTGTGAGGAAATCAGATGACGGATGTGACCCACAGTTCCATCATCTACCATCAAATTTTTGTAGGCCGCAAAAAATTGATGGTAGATGGTGCGCACCAGTCATCATTTGGTCGGAAATTAATGGAAATTGGAGCGTATATCCAGGCATCCAGGCCTTATGGAGCCCTTAAGGCCCAAAAGGGAAGCCAACCTTCTAATACAAAAATGTCGCTGCCAATCTTCAGACTCCAGTTCCAAACCAAGATGATGGAGACTTATGTTCATAAATGAGCGTTCTTTCGCAAAAATAAGTGAATTTATTCAATAATTATATCAAATACGTGCTTCACAAACGCCAGATCGTAAGAATTGTAATGATAAATCATTCTGTATCATTTGAATTCATAGGTTGGCTGCCCTCTTTGACTCTTAAAGCTCCATTACCTAAAGTAAGTAGTATGTTAGAGTTTTTTGCCAACATGCTGTAAAAATTCAGCATAAAGCTGAAAATCTCAATACAGAGGGAAAAAAACTCATTCGAGCAGTTTTCCCTCAGAGAGATATGCTGTATGGTGCAACGCACGTTGGCAAAAAACTCCAACATACTATTTTCTTACGACCCGTGCGTCCACCGCAATCAGTTTGTGTAAAGTAAGTAGGTTACTGTTGACGCGTGGACTACATTTTGCAAATAGAAACTACAATCTCTGGCTCATCCGTAAAAACACTTATGTACATAAGGAAACTGATGGCACACACGTTGTTTTGAAACCGAGCCAGAAATTTTAGTTGATAATTGCATGATGTAGTCCACTTGGACACACAGCTCTACCCAGCCGACCCTCTCCACGAGCACCCTTCTCCGTTTAATCGAAAGTTTTTGGTCCCTTAACCCATCATGTTTCCTTTATTACCGAAAAATGTTAGAATCTCAGAACTCCACCGCACGTTTAACACTATTGACGATTCCCTCCTGCAAGGCTTGATTTCTCCTTCTTTAAGCCAATGTAATTTTTACTGCAAACTATAAGGTTCCAGGGGCAAGATACAGATAGGTCAAATTCAGTGACATTCCAGGCGCGCTGTGATTGAGCAGTTCGAGATTCCACGATGATTTCACAAAAAACTCGAAGACGACCACTTTGGGAACACCGGTTTTAATGTACCCATAAAATTATAGACGTCGGCTCATTTAGCTTACTTTATTGCATTTTCTAGAGTAATAAAGGAATCGAAACATTTTTCCCCTACAATCAATAGTGTGTAATTCACTGTTAATGCGGATCATCTTTTGTCAGTGCTGAGATCCTCACGATGCATCTTCTCTAACCTAACCTAACCTAACCTAACCTAACCTTACCTAACCTAACCTAACCTAACTCGAGGTTACTTTAATAATCATAATGTTGTTGTTGTATAAATAAATGGAAAAAAAAACGAATAATCATAAAGAGCAAAGTAAGACACGTTAAGTTTCCTCTTCACTTCCTCATTGGATGTCTCTCATTCTGTTAATTCGCCTTCAGTAACTGTGATAGCAACAAGAGCGACTTAGAAGCATAAATAGTTGCGCAAGGTAGTTTTGTCAATTCCGCACCGTCCAGGTAACGGACAGGCAATAAATACCCTATATTTTCCATTAGATTTCAAAGCATTAGATCTTATTTTAACTTCATGGTGTTCCCACCCCCCCCCTTTTGCGGCGTGCCTAAATCAATCGTGTAAAAGAAGTGCATAAATTCAGGGTTGGGTAAGGGATAAAACAAACAACAACAAATCAATATTTTCTATGTGAAATATTTAAAATCAACGTCAGATGTATATTGCATTAAGAATACGTCTCTCATTTGTCTGCATGCATTTTGAAATTCAGCTAAGGTGGAATAGCTTTACGTCAGTCAGCACACAGCTTTCCAAGGCCGGAGAAATGACCGTTTGTCAGCAGGGATTGGGATTCTCCCTATCAAACTGTCAGAATTCATCAACAGATGAGCCTGATGCTAATCGTGCCTTCGAAGCCAAAAATTTGTGAAATTCCAACGAAAGACGTTCAGCATAGCGCGTCTTGAGTGACTCGAGCTGTTCATGCATCACTCATCTGGACGGAGGCCCTAAATCTTACATATTAAAGTCTCACTGGGACAAGCGCATTTGCCAAGGGGGATAGAGATCCTCAACCGCGCCAAATGTTACTCGCTGAATAAAATACTTAAGCCAGCTCGGACTCTACATTGTATAAACCAGGTTTAAGGAACAGTATTGGTTTACTTTAGGAAGGGCTTATTTGCCATGGATATTTCTATACAAATAAGGGCTTTTCGAAACGTGATATTGTGCTTGGTGTCTCTCTGTTGAACTCGGTTCCAATGAATTCGGTGGGATGAGAGATCAGATTGACGATTCCGCTCGGGGTTGCTAACTCTGTTTCGAATTGACTGATTCCCCTCGTGCTAATGGCGATATGGGTTAAGTTGGAGAAATGCGGGGGTTTATTTCAAGTGATCGGGCAAGATTGCTCTTGACTCCAAAATTAACTGGCGGGATGGACCTCGTATAGCACGTTGATTAAGGGAGCACTTGTCTGGCCGTTTCAAAAAGGTTCCAAATTGAGGGTCTGAAACATTACAGCGTACCCTCTCAGTTAAGTGCATGATATGGCACCGATGGCAAAAGGGCCCTTATTCAAAACACTGCCGTTCCCACGAGACGATCGGTTGTCTAGCTTTGATGGACTCGTGTATTCTTCACATTCTTTAAAAATGGATGATTATATTTGCGATTCCTCTAAAGCCTGTGCAACTATATTTGACAAGCATAACAACGTCGGTGCTCTGGTATGTTACTTTGAGTCACAAGAATGAATAATTTCATTCTAATTTTGTTAGTATGATTCAATACGGTTTTAAAGGTCAATGTCTAGTTGACCTCAGGGACAGTCTGTTCCTGTTAGGTTCATATTTATGTGTGTTGTATTCTGTCAGTAATGTTAAATTTTAAATTAGAGATAAGTTCACTCAGCTTTAAGATAAATCCAAGAATTTAAATACTCCAGAATTTAAACCTTGCTGGACATTCCCATTTTTAACGAGTATAACCTAATACCTACACCTACACGTGGGAGAGTGCTTTGGACTTAAATTTGGGAAAAAGGATTACAACAAGAGCGCGACTTTGAATAAAGATTTTTGGGCATAATATTGGGCGGGAAAAGTGGGATGGGAAGCGCCTAAAACTGCTGTGATTTAGTTATTTTTGCCACCATGACCCCCTTTATGGGACCCTTCAAAAGCGTTTCCTTACAGTCACAGGAACTAAAACAGGTCACATAACCGTAAAAGACCGATTCGTCTTTGTTCTTTTTGGAGACACGAAAAAATCGCAACAATATAGAACTTCTAAGAACTTTAAAAATGTACCAATGTACCATAATGGAGACGAATTTTGAATTAATGCCGCCGAAAGGGGGGAGTAACTTTGTAGGGCCCTTAGTTTTAAATCTAGAAAAAATTACTTTATCAGGCATGTTAGCACCTATTACTCAGATTTTTAACTCCCCTTTTTTGTAGTTCGTAAAATTAGGGTAAAAACCAAGTCACCCGAACTTAACTACCCGCGTGTTAGGTACTGCACAATGCACATCCGGATGTGTTAATGAAGCTCTTAAATAATTATTGCGATCGTGAAATTAATTAGCTATATCTTTTTGTCTCCCTCTTTCACCCTGATCAATAAATTGAACAAAATTGGACAACCGAAATCGCTATCGTGAGAAATGGACGAAAATAAACCGCCTCTTATCTGCTGACAAGTAAGCACACATGATGATATAGTCTCAACAAACATATTAACTTTTCAATTAAAGTCTATATAAAGAGGCGATTTAAATCAATTAAATGATCTTGCCGACGGGATTCTAGCCAGAGTGCATTAACTACCAGGAAAATTTGAAAGTGCGAAGGTGATGTTGATATCAGCTCTGTACTACTCACAATCGGAGGCATTCTCGTTAAGTGTTAAGCACAGATTATAAAGGCCCGCATGTTTGAGGCGTGGGAAGTTTTTTATCCATCAGAAAATTTCAAGGGCGATGCAACCAGTGGCGAAGCGAGGTGGTAAGATTTCAGTCTCCTCGCGATGGAAAAATTGCCCTAAGAAACGTCATTTTTCGTTACTTTTGGGGATTTTTGACGTGTAGATCTCCCCCTCCCATGAGACATTTTTGACCGAGGAACCCCACCCCTCCCCATTGAAAACTTCTGAATTCAGCACTGGACGCAACGCTGCAAATAATATCAAAATAAATTTTTTTACCTCTTAATCTTGTTTTTTTTTTTTTTTTTGGATGAGCAGCTGCATTTTTTTTTCTCTATCCTCTCATACCCTCCTTCTTTTGTAAAAAATTAGGCAACGCATAAAAGGCGTGTTAAAAGAAGAAGAAAAAGGAGGAAAATACGCGTGCACAACACAAACACATTGG